ATCACCAGAAGTGAAGCAGGGACCTTCCAGTTGTGCGGCGGTCTTGCTGCTCTGATGCAAACCTGCTGAAAGACATTGTCAGGAGATGTCACTTGATGCCATCTGACAATTTCTGTGGCACTCATCCACCGCACAGATTCAGGACTGATGGGATAGAGGCAGTTTAGGTGATGACTTCCTCGATCCCTGAAAGTTGTGAGTATACAGCACGTGCCCCCCCGCCCGCCGAGCTGTCACTGCCTTTCAAACTTGTGTTTTGGACAGCTTTATAGGTGCAGGGTGGAGCTGTTTTGAGGTTTTCCATTTGTGCTTGGCTGAAGTGCACACAGTCTGACAGCAAAGTACAAGGAGAAATCTTTTTCTCAACAGTTTACTGTCTGTTCTGTTCATTGCCACATCCATCACTCCTCTCTCTGCAGCCTGGCCACAGTTTTTTGGGCTCTCAGTGGTCATTTTGGATGGATTGTGATTAGCATATCTCAACAATAGGAGCTGATTGTTTGTGTTGTTGCCATGTTGGAGTCTTTACTTCCTATTGATCTGGCATTGATTAACTTCTAGGCAGCATTGATCAAAGGGCGAGTGTGTTCATTTCAGTTGACAGCTGAAGGGCATGTGCTTACACTGTCTTGTGTGGTTGTTTGTATTGCGTTTGTTGACTGAGTGGAAGAAATACAGACACAAAACTGTTGCATCATCCTTTCAAAGATACCTTGTTTATTTTCATTGGTAAGCTGCATCCTCTCTGGAGGCTGCAGGTTGTGTTGTTGTTGAATCGTATTGTACAAAAGCCCTGAGAGGCAAGTAAGAAGAAAAAATCTGGTGATCCATTTAAGTGTGATCTAAGTGATTTTCTCTCCTGTGTTTATGACTTAAGAACAGGTGAAAAAGATACGCTGTTAGCCCGCTAGTTAGCAAGTGAAAAACATATTGTTCACGGCTTATCAACAGCTTCATTCTAGGTTAGGTCAACCGCATAACTAATATTAGTTCCAGGGCTGTCATCATCTATTTAAAAGGAAAATTAAAAGGCCCAGACACACCACCAACTTCAGAGAACTAGCGGTGATGAAAACCCTCTGCTGCGTTGCCCTACATAGCCTATATTTCAGCCAAAATGTTGCACATGAACACACTGCAAAGGCTACAGCCCACACGACCAATAAGCATGTATGTTCTGCACCTGTGTGAGAGGAAATACCCCTCCACACCAGCAGATGGCAGTAGTCTGTATTCGTCATTCAAAAAGGGAAACCGGAATACCAAAGTGATGCTAGTTAGCCAGTTAGCATATGAACAGCACAGTCACACAGCAGCAGACTGGCAATGGTGTGGGATTCACTGCACAAACTAGGGCAACAGATGCTCATCGATGGCCCAGTGTTGACTGGCACTGACCGGCTGACTGACGACTTGGTGTGTCAGGGCCTTTACAGCTACATTGACTATTTTAGAGCATTTTGAAACAAAAATTTTGTTTCAAAATACTCTCAAAGATTTAATGACTGAGTGCTATTTCAGGCAGCAAGTATATGAGATATGCAGTGGAGAATATACTACAGCAGATGCTCAGAGTGTTAAAAAAATGACGCTACCCAGTGTGTCTCATACTGATGTTAACTGTACCTCAGTGTGTTGGTATGTGACGCCAATGGCAACTTCTCAAGCATTGGTATTTGATGAGTTGGGAGTGAGATTGGGTTGGTTTACTTAATGGTTACATAATAATCATTTTGGACAGCAGTGTGAGGTAACCTGTCATAGCAGTGCAAAAAATGTTTATTTCTTCAATTATTATGTACAGGGAAAGATTTTGAGCATATTTGAATATTGGGGGGGGGGGGGTGTGTCCCCTGGTATACGTTATAATTACTGCCTAGGTTAGTGTACTGTACTAGTAGTCAAATTAACAGGGACACCTCACCTCTTATGAGTGGGGTGTTTTACCAGCTGTCACCTGGCAGTAGCTAGCAGGTGGTTTGCATCAGTGTCAGGCCCCCAGGAAATGCACTGGACTTTGAAGTCAACTTGACATAGTGACTGCAGCTTCCAGGTCCATCACATGATGCTGTTGTGCATCATAATCCCCATGAAATTACTTATTCACTGTTGAGATTTGGTCCATTCGGTTTGATAACATTTTGAAAGTCTGGAAGAGCTGCATGATTAAATCATTTCATCCCCATTAAAGATAGCAGAGGACTAAACTAGGCACTTGGCCGTCAAAGTTTGTCACACGGCTGCTCTATGGGCCCAGTGAAGCGGAAGATCTGAGTAATTTTACACCTGCAAAGCCGAACTTTTTTGGTTTCATGCACTTTCTTTGGAAAGATTGCGACCCCTCCTCTGACACTGTCTCCAGTTTTCTTTCTTCTCTGGTTTTGACAGATGACAAAAAAAAAAAACATCTTAGAAAAATTATTCTGGCAAAACTTTTTTTTTCTCCTGGCAGGACTTCCCACCTGTTTTCACAGATTTAAAAAAAAGAGAAGTAAACTTGGAAAGTTCATCCTGGCAAAACATTTATTTTCACATGTTCTTAAGACAAACACAGGAGAGAAAACAGTTGAGATCATGCCTAGGAAATAGATCACCAGATTCTTTTCTCACTTGCCTCTCAGGGCCTCTGTAGCATTGCTTTACACTGAGAGGTGTTTATACTGTAATATTTCATCCACCCAAAAATAAAATAATAGAAAAACCTTTGAGGGAACTGCAATACAATTCAACAACATCATGAACTACGGCCTCCAAAATGGCCATCAATTTGAATCAGGCACCTCTCTAAAAGAGTTTCAATATAAACTGAACATTATAACCTTCGTGAAGGTAAGATTTACTGCCAGGCTGTTGCATTCGACTGCCAACTGAGTGTAGGAATCACTGTAGTTCAAAAAATAAATGTGTAACTGTTTTCTAAATGTCACATCAAAGAATATATTTGGCTGTGCTCTTGAGGTGGCCGCATTTAAACATCCAAAGACTTCTTCAAAATTGCTGTATGTGAATTTTGACAGAAAAAAAGTGTAAAGATATGGACATGCTATCCCTTGTGCCTTAAAACATTCTGAATCATAACCTTACAAGTATTTTTCAGGGTTGGTGGGTGACCTTGTCTTTTATTCATAGCTTTTATTAAATTCTAATTTATTTATTTGTTAGTCTATGTAGAGGGTAAGCTGGCAATAGTCTATATAGTATTTGTTATTTGACAACAAATTCCATGAAAAGGCCAAAACCAACACAAGGCGTTTTTGGACCAAACCAGTTTTGGGGCCTCCCAGAGAGGAACTGCCCACGAGGAAGCTCCACTGAGAACTACGTACCTTCAGGTCCTTTTTTTGTTTGCATTCATGCTGCCAATAAGAACACTGAAGTGGTGTAGCAGGGACTTCCCATTGTTCCGACTACCCAAAATTCCAAAGCTCGAGTAGTCCAAAAAATGTCTCACTGGACTGAAAGCCAATTTCTATAACAGTCCCATATCCCCAAAACAAAGGCTGTTGCTTCATAGTCCTCTTTCTCCGAAAATGCACACTACCTGCAGTTAGACAACCCAACTGGCCAAATGTTTACATAGTACGTTTCTGTAAACCAGCGATACGTTCCATTTGTGAGTGACACTGGTGAATGTGTGGTTAGGTTTAGGCACAAAAAACACTTGGTTATGGTTAGGAAAACATGTTTGGCTTATAACAACCACGTCTGGTGGCACAAAAGTCACTGGGGAAAAGCTGTGAAATGTCGGTAAAACCACCTGTTGGTGGTGGCTCAAACACCACTGTAAAATGTTGGGAAGAGTCAGGAAAAACACCAGGGATCAGTGGCACAAGCACCTCAGGGAAACTGAAACTAACTGCAGGGAGTGTGCTTTCGGAAAACCAGGACTTTGGAGCAAAGGGCGTTTGTTTGTGTGACAATGCGCTATAGGAGAAATGGGCTGTCTGTCCAATGGGACATTTTTTCAGACTAATGGGGCTTTGGAATTTTGGGCTTTAGCGACAGTGGCATAGCACTGGTATAACAACGTCAGTTTCGCTATGATGAGTCAAATTCGTGTTGTATTTCCACCAATGCATATATGCTCAGTAAAGCCTTGACTTCACTGCCGGTCTGTTTGTCAGCATTTTCTTCAAGCTGTTGTTTACATGGCTATTGGGTCTTTAAAAAGGGCCGTTGCTGGTGCTGCATTGGCTGTTTTCAACCAGTCGCCACACACTTGCGTCACTCATCGTTCCTCCTGTGCTGGGAGAGAACCTACTTTGAAACAGGAGCTAAGAAAGATCATAACAGTTGTTCCTACGTCTTAAAGTGTAGACACAACAAAAGAGAGGTTCTTAGAACTATGAAAAAGTTCCTCCTGTCCGAAAGCACCCAATGTGTCTGTTTCTTGATTATTCAGTTTGCTTCTTTGCCCTGTTGATAGCTCTTAGCTATCATATAATTATTTATTTTTTATTTTTTTAAGAAAGGCTAAATACTTACTTTAAACAGCTGGGCGCTGTAGTTTTTGTCAAATGTAACTAAAACAGTAAATTGTGCCTTAGTTGTGGACTATTTTCAGCAGTGGAGAAATACACACTGGATTCTTTTGTATTTACCAGCAGCAGGATGGTGTTTGTGGGATTAACTTGAATTAAACTACAGTGCCCATTTTCATCATAATGAAGGAACATGTCACCCAAAGCAACAGTGTGGCTCATTGATGTGTTTTTAATATTTCTTGGACAACAGTGGAGCTCGTTGGCACAGACAAGTGAGCTGTATCAGGCTTTGGCTACACACACAGTACTTGTTGGTGAGATCAATGCATTGTTGATTTTGGATCCTCTTCATGGGATTTTTCTGACAATAAGAAAAATACAGAATATCACCAGACTCTCCCTTTAACAGCAACAATATAACTGAACAATGTTACAGCGGAAAAAGTATACAAGATGCTGTCAGAATTATTATGTTCACTGTATTAACAGAACATTATTTCTGTCTGTCCCTCTCAGTACAAACAAGTGGAGCAATATATGTCCTTCCACAAGCTGCCTGCTGACTTCCGACAGAAAATCCATGACTACTATGAGCACAGATACCAGGGCAAGATGTTTGATGAGGAGAGCATCTTGGGAGAACTCAGCGAGCCCCTCAGAGAGGTGACACATAAACGCACAATAAGACACACAATTACCACATGTAAAATTATTAAGATTATTTTTGTGTTTGAAATACTTCAGGTTATTAACTGTGATCTTCCTTTTAGTGATGTATGTTTGATTTTGAAAGTACTGAAACACAGTGCTTGTTTTTCGCCTTTATATTGTAGTTCATTCATCACGTATACTTGATGTGTGCTTATATAAGATGAACTTTGATACTGAAATCCCTGAACTCACTGTTGATGCATGCAGAAGGAGGCACTTGACTGCAGCGCTTTGCTTCAGTTGCATATTTGACAGATATTTCTCACCAAACTATGTGTCTTTTCTCAGGAAATTGTAAACTTCAACTGCCGCAAGCTGGTGGCATCCATGCCGCTGTTTGCCAACGCAGAGCCAAACTTTGTGACGGCCATGTTGACAAAGCTGCATTTCGAGGTATTCCAGCCGCATGATTATATTATAAGGGAAGGCACCATTGGGAAGAAAATGTACTTCATTCAGCACGGAGTCTGCAGTGTCATCACTAAAGGCACTCTGGCAATGAAACTTTCTGATGGCTCATACTTTGGAGGTAGGAAAAAGTTTGTGGCTTACACATTTACACTCAGTTTTTCTGGTGGTGCCATTTTTTGCTTCTGTTTTTTAAGCTGATGCATTTTCTCCATACTCCTTTCAGAGATCTGCTTATTGACGAGGGGTCGGCGAACAGCCAGTGTGCGAGCAGAGACTTACTGTCGACTCTACTCTCTATCTGTCGACCACTTCAATGAGGTGCTAGAGGAATATCCCATGATGAGACGCGCCTTCGAGACTGTTGCCATCGACCGTCTAGACCGTATAGGTAATAAGTCCCTCCTGTGCATGCATACATAGAATTAGAGGATCACACACAAGTACATTCATGCAGTCCGCAGGGTGTTTTCATGTACTGGTAGTATGTAAACCACATAATTTTGAAGGCTGTGATCACTTGACGAGTGCAGTGACAGGAATGAAGAATTAAAGTATAAAGAATTATAGCCCATACAAGGAGGCAGGTTGGTGGGTAGATGGATTAAACAAACACATGAAATTTCCCCAGGGGACCGGCGTTTGTGTCCCATGTGAAACCAAGTGAACTTTGAGTTATTTTAAGGTACATCGTTGTCGTGATGACACCCAACCATGATTCTTTTCGTAACCCTTACCTACATAATTCTACATTAAAAGAGTACTTTAGTGATTTCCGACCAGCTTTGTATCAAAACAATGTGAGTAGTACGTGTAAATGAACTGTGGTAAACTTTCCTCCATCTAACCAGTGCCTAGATATCCCTCCTAGCCCCCCAGCGAAACTCCACTGGATGACGAGTTTCGCTGGCTCTCGGGCTACAGCCTGTACTTCCGCATTTTCCTATTGCTCGCAACCCATGCCACCACCAAGGGCAGATAGAGTATAGAAGCAGATCAAGAGACGGTAAAACTAGGCAGTGGTGATTGAATATATATCAAGATCATGTTACTTCAGCATTGATGTACTTCTTTAAATACGTAACTTTACATTAAGTACATAACGTAACAATGCCAAACTATGATACCTTTACTGAACCTATCCTACGTAACTTTACATTACTAATGTGACAACCCCAACCATGTTCCACCATGATCATAAGATCTCATACGAACCACTTTATTAGGATACGTTGCAGTCAAACATGTGACCAGCAGTTCAAAAGCATGTAACATTTGTATTGCATTATTGTAAGTCTTAGCATACAACTCATTTTTAAATATAAAAAAGACTCTAAAATGAACCCCATGTACAGAGAACAAAATAATATTGTGCTTATGAAATGTTTCCATAATGTTAATGTTGAAATAGGCAGTAAAATGAGCTGTGCTGTTCCCTCAGAATGACACGGGACACTGTAACAGTAGATGAGAGTACAGGGTGACACATTCATTTTCCTTGGGGCTTGTTCTGCTAGAGGATGTACCTGGTGTGAAGGGCATCACATGCTATATCTAACTCATATTGTTCTTTCTTTCCCAATCCTCTTGTTTCCATATATTTCTGCTTTGTTCTGCCTTTTGTCCTCTCTGCTCCGTCCTTTCTCGTCTCTGTTTGTAGCTTTTTAATAATCCATCTATTTCTTTCTCTCTGCAGGTAAAAAGAACTCCATCTTGATGCACAAGGTCCAGCATGATCTCAACTCTGGTGTCTTCAACAACCAGGAGAACGAAATGATCCAGGAGATTGTCAAGTATGACCGTGAGATGGTGAAGCGGGTGGACCTGCAGCGGCCGCGGGCCATGTCCATGACCCCTTCCATCGGCGGTATCTTTGCTCCCCCTGGCCAGCCGTCAACAGGCTCCGCTATCGCCACTCTGCAGCAGGCTGTGGCCATGAGCTTTTGTCCTCAAATGGCGAGTCCCCTGGTGGGTCCGGGGACTCTTCAGTCTCCTCGTATGGTGCGAAGGTTCCAGGTGATGCAGAACCTGGCCAGCCCAGTCTCAATGTCTCCGCTTCAGTCTCAACCTCCTCAGACGTTTGGAGGGGCATTTGGATCTGCAATCTCCAGCCCGCCTGTCCAAAGCCCGCTCGCAGCTTCAGGACGGACTTTCCAGTACATGGCGAGCGCAGGACCCTCTGGTTCCCAGTTGTCCCTAGTACAGCACCATGCACCCAGCCCCACACAGACCCAGCAGAGGCCTGCGTCACACAAGAGCACCCACTCCCTTCATACAAGTAGCTTGAGCCAGGATACCCGGGCCCTGTCTGCTTCCCAGCTTTCACTCCCCCAGGAGGGAACACCACAAGCTGCCTCTGCAGCCCCCAGCCCTCCACAATCCACCCGCACGTCCAACAACTCCATTGGTCCCCCTCAGTCCTCCCACCCCAGCCTGCCAGGGCCTTCAGGGGTGGGGAGATCAGCAGGAGCTCAGCAGAGGGTGGCCTTTGCCTCCACACCCCCTCCTGGTGGACCTGCTGGAATGGGGGCAGTAGCAGCAGCTGCTGGATCAGGACCTCCAGACTCTGGAGTTCCCAAGAAAGATTCAATTGTCAGCCTTCCAGAGCTAGACTCTGCCAGATCCCGGCTGTCTTCCAACTTGTGACCCTGGTAGAGTTCAGGAAAGATGCCTTTTTTGTAGGAGAATCTGTTTGTTTTAGGTCAGTCCAGCTGATCTGTCAGCCTGCTAAATGACCAATCAGCTACCGCCGGCGCCACCAGTCATTCAGCATGGATGCACTGTGTGCTGGTGTCAGCAGAAGGAAAAGAGCAACTCAAAGTCTTGAGACACTTTGGCTAGGAGGAGTCTATACAATTAAACTAGTATAACTTAAGGTTGAACTGGTCTAGTCTACTGTGCCAGCACCTTTAGTCTTAGTATCACCCCTTACACTCTGCTTCCAAACACCTACTGTATATCGCTGTCTTTACTGTAAAGATATGAAGAAAAGTATGATTCATGTAACTATTGCATACTGTGTAGAATCCATGCAATGCAATCTAGCAGGAGCTGGACTTAAAAATGAAAATCAGGGACTTGAGATCAAATGACAATGAACATTTTAAGCGTTCAAAAAGTGTTTTGAGTGTAATTTTTCCGTATAAGCTGTCGTAGCAAAAGAACACATTGCTCTTCATATTGTTTAAAATAGTAGTGAAAATAGTGTTTTAGACCGCTGGTCGATCTTACATCGATGTGTAAATAGTTGACGAAAAAAGTACGGAGGGATATTATATATTCATTGTATCTACCCAAACCAAAGTTGAGCTTGAACACAAAGTCTGGTTGTGTCTGTATCAACTAAAAAAGAAACATAGAAGAAAATGCCATTTATTTAACTGCCTTGATTCAACGTTAGAAGCCATATATTTGGTTTGTGTGTATGTATATATGTGGGTGTAAGTTTGTGCGCGTGAGTTTGTTGGTACGTTTCGGTTCTATTTTCAGAGAATGGACTCACACACTCTCTACACTTGCTTTGTCAAGCGCGATTGGTTCGACACGCTGACGGTGGCACTGACCTGTTTTCATGAAACATCTGGGAGGCGGTCAGCTGTTTGGTCAGCGCGCTGATTGTAACCCTGAAGGCAAAGGTGGTTAAATAATCTGAGCTTTATCGAAAGGAAACATTTGTGAACAACCCATACTGTATACTTGCTTGTTTTTGTCTAGGTTTATTGATTAACACATGCAATATAATTCTGCAATACTCTACCCCGCCTATATATAAATATATATGAATATAAATATCTATACATATGCTGTACAGGAAAAGTTTTCTTTTTTGTTTTCTTTTTAATGTGAAATCTTAAAGAATCCAGCAGCTATTGTGGCTTCACTTGAAGTATTGTAATCCAGTGACCATGTTGTTACCTTAACCAAAAATGTTGGGAGGGAATGAGAGGACGTGTCATTTTCGTAATAACTGACGGGACAAACTGCTCAAAACTGGTTCGGAGCCGCAGGAGGAATCCACGCTTTGAGTTCAGAGAGTCAGATCCTCAAAAACGTCACTTTAAAGCCCATTTGAAGGTGTTAAATTGTAAGATGAACGGGGGTGGGCAATATGGGGCGAGAATGCCTCACCTGTAAAAAGTCTTTGCTCCATATCGAAGTCTCTGTGCCCCACATCACCCACGAATGTCTCAATGTTTCGATTCACAACAGTCCTATTGTTCAAATTCCGGTGTTGGGTTGAGGCTTGGTTTGTCCTAAATATTCTGATCCTGTTGAACCTAAAAGCCTTCTCTTGCTGAATGTATGCCATACGAGAAGGAAGACAGCTAATCAGATATAAACTGCCATGTAAATAAATGGACAGAGATTTAAAGAGGCTTTTATGATGCAAGGGGGTTGTGGGCATTGCTGTATGTGTTGCTGAGCGTCTGTGCGATCTTTTTAGGTTTCATGATGCTTCTCTGGGTAGAACGTTGCTGTATTTAACCTGTATGTTACCCCCCCCCCCCCACACACACACACACACACACCCCAGATCTATCACAAGAGAGGATCCATTATCTTTTAGTTCCTTTATTGAGGCGGGCGTGAACAGGAGCGAGTCGTAACCACTTTGAACTCCTCGGTCCAAAGCGAGCACTGAGGACATTCAGTTTAAGCACCTTGTGTTGCACTTCGACCTTGTAATCAAAATGAAAATTGATGCTCTATTCTTTTAAAACGGTTACAGTACTCATCCTGGACCCATTATCCGGTTAAAGGATGAAAAGTGATTCCAATTGGGGGAGAAAACAGGCAGCTTATTCAACGTGTTAAATAAACACCGCGTCCAACTTTTTTCAGCTCCCAGCATCGATCCAGAGCCAAACTGTAAAATCAATGCGATGGACATTTCACTCAGGTTTGCTACCTTTCCAGAGAGATGTATTGATCGCCGCAGCGTGGCTGTCCATTGATTTATGTAGACTCACCCATCCTCCCAATAATCAACTTGTTGATTCAACCATGCTGAAAGATTTCCCTTGAATTTTGATTGGCTGAGAAAAAAGGAGGATCTATGGAGTGGAGTCATAACCCTCGGATTGTTATTAACAAAACTCGCTGCCGTTCTGTTTTGATCACTTGAGAGCTGTTTCAAACAAGGAGCAAGTGATTGTTTTTATCCAAGGGCTTCATTACATGGCTTGTAAACCCCGGCTCATTGTCACTGTAGAGCAGCCACACCCCCGCTTTCCATTTGATCAGTTACGTGCACTAAACCTCGTTCTTCGTCATACCCGGGTCACAGTGCTGCAGCCCGCTCCATCAGCAACACAGGAACTTTGTTTTGCTTTTTTTTTTTTCCTATGGGAAAGGTACATGCCAAAATGCCAATACGATTGTGAATGAATCGAGTCCATTCGAGCTGTTGTGTGCTTCAATACTGTTCCAGTGCAATCAATTGGTCCTCTTCCCTGTTCCTTTGTGCTAATACCAGAGTTTGCCCTATTAAGCTGCTATCAGGACTGTGCTGATATTATTTGAATGAGTCCACAGTCAGTGAGAGCAAGACGGAAGGAGAGTTAAAGAGCTAATGTTTCAGGCAATATCAGACACCGTCTCTGTTTCATTGCATCCATCCAGTAAGATACTGTAGTGTGTAATTCACTCCCACTCAAAGGATGGCATCCCAGACACTTTGATCAGTACCACTCTTGTTTCAACCCTCAGCCATGAGGCCGATACAGCTCTGGCCAAGCACATACTTCTGTCAGTTATCTGTTTTGTGTCTGTGTCACAAGTGTGTTCAGTCAGCTGGCGCCCAGCCACCGTCGAGCTGTGTGTGTGATATAGCGCTGTATTTGCCTGATGACGGGGGGTTCAAAGTGCGATTGTTTAATGGTTCTTCTTCTGGACCTTGCTGTGAAGTGGGATTGAAATCCCTCATACATGTTTGACACTGACTGACAATTATTGAGAGTTTCTAAGTTTCAAACCTCTCATTCTTGCTGTACCAGATATTAAGGGTACCGAATGCCTTGGTGTTGATATGTTAGCAAATCAGGGTATTCTTTTTGTTTGTAAAAGTGTCTTTGATTTATCAGTATACTTTGTTTTGTTTGGTTATTGTTTTTGCAATGTGCCCCATGCACATGGACTGTATATACCTTGTGCCTAGTATATCTAGTTTCCACATAGTCTATTTTTGTGGTATGTATGTGCCTGTAAAAATGCAAATACGTGTTTTTATTTTCAACTTGCAATATATGTAAAAAAACAAACAAAAAAAAAACGTAGATGAAGACTAGTATTGCTGAATTAAAATGACAATGTCAGTATATATAATTTTCCCTGATTGGGAAACACAAAATTGCACATTTTTGTTGGTTTGAGCCTTCCAACACCATGCGCGCTGTACTCTGTACTTTCATGTTCTGTACATATGGTATACACAGAGCTGTGGGGCACATTGTTGTGTTTTACCACAACCTGCTGTATAAGAAACATTTTCTACAGTGAGAGGGTGAGCTCTGACAGGCTTCTGGTGGATATCGGCAGTCTAGACGTTAGCTTAGATGACCTGCTTGATGCACACAAAAATGACAAAGAAAATAAGAAAACTGTGGAGACGCCTGCACAATATAAATACCGAAACAACAACTGTGCACATGCTGGATAGTTTTTCCCAAACCATAATGCTGCACAAGTCTTTAAACTCCGATGCTGGTTGCACACTGATCTGGTTTGCCATTAAAAATAAAAAAGATCTCTCCAAGGCTGAATTTGGCTCAGCAGTCACGAGCTCGACTCCCGGGTTGAGCTACCTTGACAGATAACAGCAGAGTGCATGCTTGTGTTTTTTCTTATCTAAGCAGAGTTCTGTGTACAATTCTTAGTGGGACCTTCTAATCTAGACATTGTCATGTACCAACTACTGTACAATGATTTTATTTAGTCTAACAGTTAAACCTTTGTGTCGTAGCTACTGTAGCCTGCTTAGCTTACCTAAGCCTTCTCTCTGCTTCAGGACTCTGTGTATTGTGTGCTTGAGTTTGTGTGTGCGTGTGTGTGTTCCTGTGCCTTTCCTTCTATAATGTTGGTCCCACTTGAGAATATGATGCCATTTAGGGGGTTTGAAACCCATGTGAGGCTGAGAGAGACGCCAGCACAAGCTGGAAAAGTGTTAACACGGTCACGACTTCACTTGTTCTTTAAAAAAAAAACAACACTGTAATGCTCCTAGAAAAGACTTCAGCACATCCCTAGACTTAGTAGCATTCCACAGCCTGCACGAGGAGCTCGGTGTGGGCATCCAGACACACTTTACCAGCACCATGTAGACAACAGCACAGATATCTGACACAGCATGTGTCCTCTCTCTCTTTCTCTCTGGAGGCCAATCTGCAACCATCTCAGGCTGTGCTCTGCTTCTGCTCTTAATGAAAAGGTTCAAGTATTTCAGAACTCCAGCTCTGTCTAAGTTGATGTCTACAGTCCAGGGGCAAATCAGCTCCCGGCCCGAGCCGCAGCACTTCCAAATCGATCTCAAAGGATCAGGGGGATACTGTACTTGCGATGCTGGCGATGTTTTGTCGCCATCCAGTCCTTTCAGACTGAGATGCACAGCTGGCGGCAGTGGGCGCGGGGGCTGATTTGAGCCTGCGTCCAAAAGGCTGTCTTGTCCACCACCTCTGCTGGCCGAGAATACAGAGCCACACCCTGGTCTCTCTCAATAAGCTGGTCTGTCAGTCAGTGGCAATGTCGTTTAAGCGTTCGTAAAAAGACGATACATTGTTGTGCAATAAAAAGATGAGCGCATTGGCATACTTACCTCTGTGTGTGGACTTTTATTCATTGGTGGGTCTTTGTTGGCCGGCATGCTGCATTGGATACAGAACGTTTAACGTACCATCGGTACCTGCACACACACACACATTCACACACACACACACACACACACCTCAGCCTTGTAAATCAGCCAGCAACCCCTCCACCCTCATTCTACCCCACATCAGATGAGATCTCTCTCTCTCTGCAGACAGGGGCTCTGCTGCATCCCTGATGAGATGTCTGAGCTCAGTCTAAGAGCTTCCACTGTGTGTGTGTGTGTGTGTGTGTGTGTGTGTACGGCATACCAGCAAGTGTATTTATTCCTGTACCTAGGAGCGCGTGCGTGCACATGCAAGCCCTAGTTTTGTATTTGTCTGATATGGAGAGAGAGTAAATGAACCAGTGGCAGGAGTGTATGTACGTGTATGTACGTGTGTGTGTGTGTGTGTGTGTGCGTGAAAGGGTGGGTGGGTGTGTGCGTCAGAGATGAGGGCAGTCCAAGGACACACTCCTCTGGCAGCCTGGGAGCAGCTCCCACCCGTTCCCTCTCTGTCTATTTCCTTTCCCTGCATACACACACGCACGCACTCACACACTGCTGTCTGGATCCTCAGTGATTATGCATGGCACACTGAGATAGAAAGATTAAAATTACATGCAAGGTGAGGTTTCGACACAGAGCTTTACACCACTCATGTTGGCTCCTCAGATCTACATGCGGCTGGTACAAATGTGGGTGAGGCCATCCGCAGTGCGTGTACGTAGTTTTACCTTGACGTGACATAATGTCCTCTCTCTCGTCCGCTCTATTGACACACACACACTCCCTCTCCCTCTCTATGCATTTCATTGTAATTCAATGAGGAAGCAATGTACTGATAGTGGCTGCAGGCAGATACTACACCAAGTTGTGAAGCTATATGTAGTCTGGGTGTATAGTTTCATCCTGTATAAGGCCAAAGATTGTCCTCTACCTGGTTTCCTCTGCAGTGCTGGTCCTCTACTGTGTCCCTGGCTGTCCTACTTCAATTAATCATATCAGCATCTCCCGCACTACCCCCCTGGCTGTTTACCTCCAGAGGGCAATTTGCTTATTTAGCTGCTTACTGGGATCCTCGTCCCCCTCCCATCCATCTCCTTCTAGTTCCCTCGCACTGCTCCTTGACTGGACGCAAACGTCCTGTTTTGCCCGTTTTTAGAGGCTAAAACATTTGTGTCCCCGGAGTTTTTCCAAGCACAATCAGCATTTTCGGCAACTGTGATTCATGCGGACAGGTGCGGCTTGTTATTGTTGTCGCAGGTGTGGATGTGCACAGGAAACTATAGTCCCTTTCTCACTGGACAAAAAAAACACCCACTAAAATCTTCATTTATTCATTCATAAAAATTCAATCAATTCAATTAATAATTCATTCCAACACTGCTTGTCCTGTTAGGGGTCGCAGGGGGACTGGGCCTATCTCAGCTGACATTGGGCAAGAGGCGGGGTACACCCTGGACAGGTCGCCAGGCTGACACATAGAGACAGACAACCATTCACGCTCACATTCACACCTATGGTCAGTTCAGAGTCACCACTTAACCTAACCTGCATGTCTTTGGACTGTGGGAGGAAGTCGGAGTACCCAGAGAAAACCTACCCCGACACAAGGAGAACATGCTAACTCCACACAGAAGGGCTCCCCTACCCTGGGTTTGAACCAGAAACTCTCTTGCTGTGAGGCGGCAGTGCTAACCACTGTCCACCGTGCCACCCCCACTAAAATCTGACGTTGTATTTAATGGGAAAGGTTACAGTCTATATTCCAGGACAAATGACTCTGCAGTAGTTATGGGTTTTTATCGGCTCCAACTTCAATCATCACCGAAAGTCAGTGATAGAAATATGTTACCCAAGTAGATGTGCTGATTTTAGCCCCTTTGCCAGCACCTGCATGCTTCAAAGCGTCCATTGTTGCCATGACAATCGACGTCTAAATCAGTATTCCAATGCTGTTTGTTTTTTATTTGTGTGTTTTTTCACCAACAAACTGCCGGAAGACGTGAAGGAGGTGGCAGATGTCAGACACCGATGAGGTCAGTGTCCTCAGTGCTGTCATTGATGCCTGTATCAAGCATTTAAATTGGCTGTCCTACGAGGAAAAGGAAAAGGTGAAACAAATTGCAGACGGTTGTCCGTAAAGCAGTTGCTTTGTATCTAGTGATGCAGCTCAATCCGCAGCATTCGAGTTATTAACAACTTACAGATGCAGCAGCGCAAAGTTCTATAAAAGTTGGGTCAGGTTCTGGTGGTTGATCAATATATATGAATATAACCCCATAACCTGAGTCCTGTTGCGTCAAGTCAAAGCCATTCGGCTTAATATAGTAATATTATTACCATAGCATTTTCAGTGGCCTCCATGGTCCTTCTTACTGTTTACTTCTGTTTTCTGGCCTGTCTATGATATTAAACCTGACACACCAGAAAAAAACACAACATGTCTGCTGCAGAGCCTTATACATGGTTCTGGTCTACTGGCAATGTGAAAGCAGTCTGTCGCCTATTTTTAACAGGTTTTCATGCATTTAAAAAACCCACATGCACGCACTAATATCAGTGGGAAAAGAGTATATGTGTGTGCCTGGAAAGAAGACAGCGGCACAAATACTCGCCCTTCTGCCCTCACATTTCCTCCCCGCTGAAGCTGCTTCGGCCACGTCTCTCTGCACCGGGGAGCATCTAGAGAACACAGCTAAAATCTGAATGCCAGGATTAGCATTTGGTCCAAGCTCTGAGTCCATGAATGAGTCAGTGAGTGAGACAGAGAGACAAAGAGAGAGGGAGAGAGAGATACAGTAAATCATCTTACAGCCGCAGGCAGCCTCAGCAACATCACAGTTGCTGGACAGTGGGCCGGGGAGGAAGTGAGAAGTGCGTCAGGCTGAAGTGATCAAGAGAAAAACACACAGTAAGCGACAGGAGGGGACGGTCACATGGTCTTCCACAAGCTATGTCATCTTATTTAAATTTAATTTGTTAGTCCTCTTATCTTCAGTTCCTGAGGGAGTTTGTTTGACTTTATTCCTCATTTAGACAAAACGGGAGATGTTCCTCTGACTGATCAATGTACCCTTCATCCAAGGACACATGTCTCATAAAACACGTGACCCTAACCCAGTGGTAATTCAGTCTGTCATTCAGAGGCACACTTACTACACACATACATCAAGAGACAGAAATGGCAGAGTCGAGTAATTCAAGAATTTATGATTAGTGTGCGTTCTGATATACAACCTCTAGTCAAAAACAGATGGTATGAAATACTGTACACATAATTCCAGCTGTATTATAATTGTTTTGTGAAGTGAATATGATTTCTCAGATTGTAGCAACAAACAACTCATTAAACTTAAACCCAATTACTGAAATGTGGCCAAGCTCCATTGTTATTACCTATTTCTTATGATTATGGCTACTTCTCATCAATTTTGCATTGTACACTAATTTATATTTCAGCACATGAATATAGAAATAACTGCAAAACAAACAAAGCAAAAGCAAATAACTATTTGCTATATAAAGATATAGTGGGAGACATGGCCATACTTGCCAACCCTAAGACCTTAAAACCAAAGTGGGTGGTCTGGATGTCCGTCCTTCATTCTGGTGACTTTTAATGAATGAAATAAAATGATAACTGTCTTGCAGCAGAAGTTTTATGTTAAATGTTATTAATTTGTTTAGTTTTTGGTTCATGCCCCTGGTACTCCAGCAGAGCACCAGGAGGAGGAAGGCAGGCCAGGTTTGTCCTGTGCCAGGGACCCACAGTCGGCTGTCTTCCCCTGGCCCACACACCCCTGGGTCCTGGATGCCGAGGCAAAGCGGAACTGGAGGCTTAGATTTTTTGAAAGACAGCTGATTACCCCAACTTGGCAAAAGAGGTCAAGCCAGCTTTGCCCCAAGTCCCAAGACTGCCCTCAAACCCCCTTTAAGAGCGGAGTGCATGACTCCAGCAGGCCTAGTGCCACTTCTCTCCGGTCCGGGGGTTGGAGTAAGGAGAGGGAAGCGCGAATGGGGAGGAAGAAGTAGACTTTTAGAGTTGTAGGGCTTTTACACGCTAGAAAGGGGTTGTGGTGACAAAAGGGGAAAAAAGGTCTGTCGCACATGGGGAGAAATGTGGGATAATTGGGACTCTATGAGAGGGCAATGAGAAGAAGAGTCTCCCAGGAAAATCAGGAGGGCTGGCAGGTATAGTAACAGTGTCCTGAGCAGAGAATGAAGTCTTACTCTCTCTGTGTGTGTGCTGTAATCCGGGTTTTGTTGTGGTAGACAGTCTGGCTGTGCTTGCATGTGAGTGCCTGTGAGTCCTTTGAGTGTATCCTACTGGCTAGCTAATTGCTGCTGCTCTGTATTGCGCTCATGTGGTGGTTAACGCTCATATCACAGCACTGACACTCCAGTTCCCCCCCGGCTAACACTGTTAGCTCTGTCAACACTGTTAGCTGCTAGCTGCCAGCTCAGCCTCCATGTTGAGAGCCGTGTGCAGACAATCTTCATTATAGATTTGCTCTAAATATCATACGGATCTCCTTTAAGAGGTTTAAAATTCATACACCTTCGATTTACACAACCTATTATGCAATGTTCCTGAATAGTGAGACGTGATTTTAGACTTGTGATGTACAATTGGCTGCTAGAGTTGAGAATTTAACACTGTTTTTTATCGAGTACTGTATATGTGCTTACAGCAAGAAATTATGTAATGAGCAGTGTATCTCTTGGGGGAGAAGAGGAGGAGGAGGAGGAGGACAACGGCAGTAACAAGGGCACATCCTGCATGCAGTGTGCAGCTCATACATGCAATGTTTTATGCAAATGATGAGCCGTTTAAATGTGGCTTCCTGTGTAAGTCCCTGAGTATTGTTTTCAGAGTAAAACGATAATTCAGCAACTATTTTTTCTGAAGTTTACACTCTTGCGGCTTTTGTTTAAAATGAGAAAAGCAGCAGAGGAGGAG